TAACGCCAACAACAGCTTCAGTCAATTGCAATACACGTCGACTCCAGGTTTGAGCGGACTTTTCAGTTGCCTTTCAGTTGACTCTTCATTTCAAATGAACGTTAGGTTCGGCTTTCGTTTCCTCTACTCTTCCTTTCACTCAACAAATCCAACAAAACCTTTTGTCCACTCAATCGCGAACCGCCACTCAAAACAATTACAAGTCGAGCGCTTCGCGATGGGAGCGCGAAGAGCAGCGACCCAATCGGGCCGACGACCGGTTCCGCGCGCGAGACAACGATCGGCCCTCTCGTCTGAATGACGCGAAAGGTAAGCGAAACGATTCGCGCGATCGAAACATTGTGTCCAAAGAGGGAAGAGATGAGTTCGGACGCGACCTCAGAGGCGGAGAGCGCAACAAAGAGAAGGACAAAGAGCGCGAACGCGAGCGACCAGAGCGTCGGGTCAGACGCTCAGAGTCTCCCGCGAATAGTATTGGCAGTCAGAACGTGGTTCGAGCGGTCAGACGCCGCTACGAACCCGTCAATATCCCAAAGTTGGCTATTCTTAAGACTCCTCTCAACGTATATGACATAAAACAAAGATATTCTGCGAATCTTCACATTCCTTCTGATCTAAAGGAAGTGATTGTAAATTCAAACTTTACTCTCAATATCAATGATATCCCAAAACCAATCACTTTTAGAGTGATTGAAGTGAAAGACGACAACAAGAAGAAAGAGGTGTCGAAAAAGACTGATTCGCCGAAAGAGAATAAAGAGAAGGCGACTAAAGAAGGAGATAAGAGTGAAACCAAAGAGGAGGCCGAAGATGAAAGCAAAACTGAAATTTGCAAAGAAAGCGACGAAACTAATGCCAAGACTGATAGCAAAGACAAGCCTTCATCTGTTGATCATCCGATTGTATCGAAGACTACGTATAAATACGGCGTCAAAGTCCTCATCATTTCATTGCCATCGATGAGCGATATCTACGACCGAATGTTTGGCTCAGATTTCGACGCCATTAGTACCGGAAGTAAATCATATTTCTTGCATTTCAACAAACTTTTGGCGTTTTTGGTCTCAAGAAACACAAACGACGGCTTTTCTCTGATCGGCGGTAAATTCAACGCCCAAATAGACGGCTATTTGTAAGTGTTGTAAAGCATGTGTTTGTCGTGTGGTTTTTAAAACAATTGTTTTCTATAGACCCGATTCCGAGGAACCAAATCTGATCGCAACAGCAGTTCGTTTGGTCGGCGAACAAACGGGAATGAATTTGTCTAAATGCGCGAAATGGAGATTAATCGCCACTTTTGTTTACAATCGGTATTTTTAAAAGTCTTCTCCAAAACAATGGGAAGAATATTAATTGAAATGTGTTTTATAGCGACAACTCTGTGGACCCAATGACTCCGAGTCTTGAGATCAATCGAGTGTTTATGCCTGACGTTTGGTCTGCTTTTGATGGCATTTACGACAAACAGCCGAAAAAC